GAGGAGGAGACCATGTGTCTGCTGTGTGACCTGAGACCATTCCCTGGGGCATGTGTCAGGGTTATGCGCATGTGTGAGCTCATGTAGCTGTTTCAACTGTGCTCTTTGAGAGAGGAGATACCTGTTTGGTGTCACCACACCTGGGACGTCCCAAGGTCTCTGTGTGGGGAGCCTGTCTTCTTGTGTGTGTCCTCCCCGGTCAGAAGTATGAGGGGTCTGGGCCTCTCTGCCATAGGGGACACTAGCTCACTGCATCATTGCCATCTGTCACGCCTTCATAGTGATGAGCTGCCAAGGATAACTCAGCCCCTGCTCCACCTCAGGGCTTTGGCTTTATCCAAAAGGAAAAGTATACCTTTTCCTTCGGGGAGTTTGTCATTTCCTGACTGCTGCCCCCTCTGAGTGTCTGACCTGGGGACAGACTGGGGGGCTATGTCCATCCTCATGACTGCCCTTCTCTGAGCCTGCTGCGTCCGTGTTCTCCCTGGAGCCTGACAGGCTGGGGGAGCAGCACATGCCGCTGTTGCCGGGCAGAGACTAGTGACGCTTTTGGGAAGGAGGTGTGAAAACCTAGTCTGCCTGCTGATCATTCTTTGCCCTTAAATTGATAAAGGAAATTAAGTCCCTGTCTGCGGCAGGAGTGAGCTCAGGTAACACGCCACTTGTAGGAGCTACAGACAAGGTCTGGCTTTGGAAAACGTGTCTCTAAAGTGCATGGACACCCCCCACCCCACACAGCCAGCTCCTGGGCTCAGTGATGGGGACTGAGATCGCTGGCCCAAGGAGGCCCTTTGGTCCCATCGGGAGACTGTGTACACAACTGCCCAGAGGAGGGGGTGGGCTGGGCTGTGACAGGTGGCTGTGAACGCCCTGGAGGTGCAGGTCAGCTGGTCCCTAGAACCAGAGGGATGTCTGAGAGAATGCCTCACAGAGCAGGTGGCCTTTGACGGGGGCTGGAAGGATGGCTGGCACCCCGTGGGTTGGAGAAGGAAGCGGGGTGCGTTTCAGAAGGTTCTTGCTTTTCCCTGAGGTCGTTTGTCAGCTCCAGGATGGCTGTGCTCACAAAAGCTTTCCGTAAGAAAGGGTGGCTGCGCTCATCACAGTTCAAGGATCTGTGACTCAGAAATCAGTAACTCAGGCGAGTTCTGAACTGACTGGGGCTGGAAGCGCCACCTGGGCCACCGGGAGGGAGGCCCGTGTGCTGCCCCTGAGGGAGGGCTTTGCCCTGGGCACAGTGGGGAGCCAGCTGAAGCTCAAGGCACTTAATGAATCGTGGGGCCTGTCAGTAGAAAGCAGGATGTGGGAAGTGCCATGTGTGCATGTGTGCATGAGCATGCGTGTGTTTTGGGAGGCTTGGGACCTGGAATCGTCTAGTTTAGTTTCAGAGAAAGGTGTGGGAGATACGCAGCTTTATTCTTCGGGAGGGATGTCAAACTGTAACAATGTGTGCGGAAGAGTCAGTAGCAGGTCTTGGCTGTGCTGAACGAGATCTGTGTTACCTGTGCAGAAATGGATGGAGACCATGTGAGTGCGTGTGTATGTGAGTGCGTGTGCCCATGGCAGGGAGGGGGGAGAGGCCGCCCCTCCTTGAGCCAGCGGCCCCGTGGGTAAGCTGCTGCTTCAGGCACGCCATGTTGCTTCCTGTGGGAGGCGACGGAGCCGAGCTGGGTCCTGACTGCACTTCTTCCCCAGTGTCCGATTTGAGGCTCTGGGCAGGCTCTGCTTGGAATGGTCAGTGCTAACAGCCGCGTGTCCCCACTGTGCTGAGCCTGATCTGGAGGCACCAGAGCACAGTTAGCATGCTCCTTCAGGGCGGCGTGGGTGCATGCACTGTGCGTCTGTGCGGCACACCTGCTCTCTGTGGCCTTGTGCACACTGCGCTGTTCTGAACAGCCTCTCAGACCAAATAAAGTTATTAAAATTCTGGAAATTTCCCTCCTTCCAGCTCAAGTTCAGGTCTTATCAGCTGCACTGAGAGCAGCACAGCTTGATTCCACGGACTTGTCTGAGAGCAAACCGACAGGAGCCCTAAATGAAGTGTCGGCTGCGGGCCCCCGCTCAGCCTGTGCCCATCAGATGGCGCCGTCTGCCGCCTCCTCTCCGGATGCACTCGCCGCCGCCAGGATATTACAAAGCACTGTGAGTGTCTGCTGATCCCTCAGCCTCTGAGGATATGACAGAAACCACAGAGCTGCACTTGCCTTATTAACATATCCCAGCAGAGATGATAAATGGTGAATTTCATTTTATTCTTAAGGTCATGTTTTGGATAACTAGACAACCAATCAATCAGGTGATTGATAACCCTGATTCTGTTCCATAAAAACAAGAGTGGGGAGACCAACAAGTGCCTTGCCTCTTCTCCCAAGATGAGAAGTGGCTCTTTGGGGGGATGAACCACATAAACGCTCTGTTTGCTGCTCACAGGCGTGCACGTCTCTTAATAATAGCTGAGGGGGATTTGTGCAGTTGGGAGACGTTAAAGCTGGCAGAGGCTTCAGGACAGCCATCTCATTCCTTGGAGTTCTTGTCACGTGGGGTGCTTCACTCATGGTACTACATGTCTCCTCTTGGACGCGGGGGTTTGCACACCCAGCAACGCCCACCGACTGGCCCAGTGGGGCCGGGGCCGCAGAGGAAGCTGGCCCCTTGTTTCCTTAGTTGGAGCTGCTTTTGTGGTTGGAGGTCACCGTGCCTCCTTGAATCCTTTAAGCTCCCACTCAGCCACTTGGACCTGAGAAGGGAGAGAGACGTTAGTTTAGAAGAAAGCAAAAACAAAAAAAACCCATTCCTGTTGAGTCAATTCTGACTCAGAGTGACTCAGGTAACAGAGTAGAACTGCCCACAGGTTTTCCAAGGATGAAAATCTTTACAGAAGCAAAGCCCGTACCAGACCCTCTGGTGTGGAATCAGTTCTGACTCAACGCCCCTGGAGGACAGAGTGAAACTGTCCCAGGGGTTTCCAAGGCTGTTAGTCTTGATGGAAGCGAAGCCCAGACCAAACCCATGGCTGTGGAGTCGATTCTAACTCATAGCGCCCCTAGAGGACAGAGTTGAGATGCCCCACAGGGTCTCCAAGGCTGTCATCTTGATGGAAGCTGACTGCCACATCTTTCTCCCACAGAGCAGCCGGTGGGGTTGAACTCCCACCTTTTCGTTAGCACCCGAGCACTTAACCACTGTGGCACCAGGGCTCCTTGAGTTAAGAGAGTGAGGTAAAATTAGAGTGGCATCTCTGACCCTAAGTCTTTGGCATCTAGGCCCCTCGCCTCACCACGGGCCGTGAGTGCCGGTCTGGGCTCATGGCCTTTGGCGCCAGAATCCCAGTTGTTTCTCCACGCACAAACTTTAGAGTTTCAGTTTAGTGATTGGACTAACTTAATGCTTCCCTTGCCCCTAGGCCTGCTCCAATAAAGCAAAACAAAACAGATACTGAAAAAGCCCCAGTGTACAATGTGTAAGAGATAATTAAGGTTGCTGTTGACTAATAAGAGATATGATGACATCCTGCTTTGCTTGTTTGTTTTCAAAAAAAAGCAGCCAAGTGCACTCACATTGCTGTCCTTGTGACCTGGAGGGGATAGCCCATGGGTTAAGTGGAAGGTGCAGATTGGGTCGGTATGGGGCCTCTTTCTCACAAAAGACAGGAAACCACAGAGCAGATTCCTAGGAGCCGCTCTGTGAGTCCCGTGCCTTACAGGTGCTGTGGTGCAGGAAGTCAGGCTCCTGAACCAGCCTCTCTGCCACCAGGGCGCCGGTGGGGGCGGTAGGATGCTTCCAATTGCCCCCTCATTGGCCTCATGTGCTCATGGGGTAGAGGACATGCCTCTATGGAAATTCGGATTTGGTCAGAGTCGGGAGACAGGACATGGGGACAGCACCCCATGGTGGAGCTTTACTGGAGCAGTGCCCTCACTGGACCTCTGGGGTGCCTGGGCTGTCCCTTTTGGGGTGCCCTAACTTGTACTGGCCTACTTTGCCTGATTTGGCTACTGGAGTAGCATCAGACGTAACAGGTGCACTGAAGACTTTGGGATGAAATCAGCTCCTTAAACGATTGTGATGTCAGCAGCACAGTTTGTTAGTGTATGTGGATTCATTACGTTGTAGGGGTTGAGATCTTAGGGTATTAGACCGTTTCATCCTGTGCACCGTTGAAATAACCAGCGTGTTTCAGTGAAACCCTTGGGAAGGAAGGTTCTGGTAGCTGCTCCAAGCAGAGGGCGCATCTATCGGTGGATCAATCAACTTTCCTGTATCATGTATTGAGCTGATTTGTCAGAACCCATTAAGCTGGGAGACAGTATGACATTTCAAGTGCAAGCAGGGAATCCGTGTTATGGTTGAAGGAGAAGGTCAAGTCCATCTCGGTTAATGTTAATCGATGATCAGAGACCAGTATGTCACCATGGAGTGTTCCCACTTGTTTTCATTGTTAACCTAATGGAAAAGTCCATCAGCAAATATTAGGACTGTTTGTACATGTGAAAATTGAGAATAGTTTTCCAAGTAAATGTTTCTTCATCAGCCACATCTTATCCCTGCAGTTAAATGGGCTTCTCCCACCCGTACCCCCTGCCCTGGCCCGGCCCCAGGCTGGCTGCCACTGCTGACCCCTGGGAGGGGCTGGAGCCCCTGGAATCTGGTTTCTGTGAGCCTTTCCCTGCCTTTTGGTGTTGTGTGTGCCTCTTACCTGAGGGCACTGGTTAACCACAGTGCGTTCAGGGTGCATTCAGGTAGACCCTGGGCTTTGGAGAAGAGAACACACAGGCTGAGGTTGGAGAACACATCAGCTTTAGCCTCTGGTTGGTAAGAGCCTTGAACAGTCTTGAAGTGCAGAAGTACACTATGTGTTTTCCGTGACCTTGACAGTGACTGGTCTATACAGTATCCTATACAGTGGTGCCGATGGGTCTGTTAGCATCAGGAGATGTACAGCGGTGCCCAGGGAAGTTCTCGTTAGGTCTGCAGAAGTTGTCACTAGCATTGAAAGAAGTTTCTCAGAAGGGGGTGTGGTGGGGTGGCTTCCTCTGTGGAGGAGGTTGGTGACATGCCCACTCAACTCTGCAGGATCCAGAAGAAGACCTTGCTGGGGCTGGCGACCCTTCAAAGACTGAGCTGAAGTGGGGCCCCACCCCATGTGAGGAGAATCAATCTAAATCACAGGTTTGTGAAAATGTTTCCAACATTCCTTCAAAGAAAAGCAACTCAAAACAGTCCATCTTCTGAAAGCCACATTGAAGATTGACCATTGAAGCCAGAGTGCTTTTCTGCCACCAACATTGACCACATATC